AATTTGATATTAAATACTAGTGCTTTGAGTGTAAGGTATTCACTATATATTAGGCTATTATTTACACTGAATGCTTAAGCATACTGTCGTATTAAGAATAGTGAACTCATAAAATGAAATATAAAGTGTAGTTTTACTACAGTAAAGTGTGATGAATTGAAGTACAATATACCCTATATTGTAAAAAAAAAAACTACAGCACTGGATCATTTGTTTATATTACACTTGTTGTGTTACCATTGCAACTACAGTATTACCACAACAGAGTAATTGAAGTACTTAATGACAATGTGTGTTCAGTGGCCCTTCTTTTCAAAATGAAGATGATGACAGGGAAAATGTCATCCACAATCTCATCAACAATGTGGAGGACAACAGACACTAGTTCACTTTATTTTATTTGCCATGACAAAATGTGATTTATAATGAAATTTATTTAAAGAGTGAATAGTACAGTAGGCTATAATAGCTTATCAAGTCTTTCTGTTAGTTACATTTCTGCTTGTGTTAGTTTTTATTTGTGTCTAAATGTTTTTTATTTGATTAGTATGGTGCACCTTTTGGATGTTTAATAAATGTTTTTCAAATAAAATGTATTCTTTACATCCAACATCTATTCTCTGTATCTTTAAGTGTTTAAAACTGGAAATATCCTATCATATAACATACACCCAAAAATGTTATGGTTTATTAGATAAAAAATAAGTCTATTTTAATATTTTGGTTATTGTTAATAAATAGTGTACTAATATAAATCATATCAAAAAGCTTGAAAGAAAGAGGGAACACAAGACACAAATTGTGAGTCTGCATATAATCTCACTGAGAGAGCAGTGTACTGAGAGCACGCAAGAAAACTTGTGCGTGAGCAGTGCATATTTGAGAGATCGTGAGAATTTGTGCGCGAGCAGAGTATGTGAGAGCTCGCAAGCAGTTTTGTCCACAAACAGAGGAAATCGGTGCACAAACATTATACTGAAAAAGATATTCATCATGCTCACTTTATGCATGACAGTTTTGTGTTGTGAACCACTTGAAATGTAAAGTAAATACAATAATGGCAACAATAGAATAGAAAAGAAATAAAATCTGCATTTTGTCATGGCATTGGAGTTTACATATCGGCCTGTTGTGTCTAATATGAATATAGCCAAGCCATTCACAGATATTGCCAGATATTCACTTTACCTCTACCATACTTTTAACAGATCATTTGTGATTCTGGCTGTCATCCTTTCTTGCATTGTCTTGAGCCTTCACATTGCCAATTATATACTGTACTATATTGTTAGAAGCCTGGAGAGGTCACAGTCATTCTGCTACATCAAATCACTTTCTACTTTATGTAAAATGCTCATTATAGAACATTCTAGAATTTTATAATGTTAAGTTCTTATTCTGTAGTTATTTTGGTAAAAGTAACTAAAAAGTAATCTAAGAGTAATGAAACATATTACAATTCTGAGACAGCAATATTGTAATGTAAGGGATTACTTTTAAATAACAGTACTAAGTAATCTGTAATGTATTACAATTTGGAAGTAACTTGCACAACACTGCTTACAACATGTTTCCCTATTCACGAGAGAGAAAGTGAAAGTAAAGAATGAGGAGGCTCATCTCTTATTCTTGCACTGTAGATGCTCTGTTTAACTGTTTTCTCGCGAGTGAAGCATTCAGTTTTTCCACTTACAAAGTTCGTCATGTAAATAGCAAATGCGCTATGGCGTGACGCAACTTAATCTTAAAGGTAATGAGAGATTTTGATTGGTTTATTCTCAAAACACATCTATAACTCATTAAGAGAATAAGCTCAACCCTGTTATGGCCTAATTCTACTGAGTGGTACGGTATGGTACGGTTCAGTTTGGTACGCTTTTATGGCCGTTTCCACTGTCAAAAAATTTACAAAACCAAACTGTACCGTACCACTTTTTCGGCACCAAACATGAGAAAGAGTACCAAAAGGCGGAGCTAGAAGCTCAGCTGAAGGCTATTGGTTTACAGCGATACGTCACTCACTTACGTAACAAGCCAGATTGAAAACAAAAAACCTGCCATGTTTAAAATACAGGCCGAGCGATTATAGCGGAATTATATATACATATAATAACAAGCCATGGTCGATCTGGGCTCAAACAAACCTTGTCGTCGTCTTGATGAACAGCCATAAAGCCATGGAGTAGAGCAGAATCTACCCTGTACCTCGTAGTTTTACTCGAGCCAGTCTGAAGAGCGAGCGCTTTCGCTTTCTTGCTTGCGCTCACCACGTATCTATATCTGAAATAACAAAGTTCTTGAGCTGATGATAATAATGTGCGCTTGATTATTAATGTGCTTTTGCAACCCAATTCTGTCAGAATCTGACAAATGCGAGAGTGAAGTGTGAAAAAAAGGAGAAGCCGAAAAAAAGGAGCACATTATTTCTTTAGCAAACGTGAACAAACTGCCTTGTTTTAATTTTTATCATCACCTTTTGGACTAATGTGAAATGAGAATGATGGAATTACTCTAACAGAGGTTACACATGCTGCTGAAGATTACAGACACAGGTAAGAGGTTTAATATAATTACAGACGTTACAGTAGGCTATTTCGCACTGTCATTGATCTGCAGTTATAATCAAATCCTGTTCATAGAAAAGTTAGTAAAAACATTTAAACAAAAGTATTTATGTGTGTAAAGCGTCTGTTTTGTGAGAAGTGCTTTTCATAAAATATGTGAGCGACCCTTGCAGCTTTATTGTAGACATTTCCTAGAGCGAGAATGACTTAAAATTTCTGTCATACACCACGCCCACCAAAAGGTGGAAGCGCAAGCCTGATAAAGGTGACCCGTACATACCCAAACCGTACTGTACTGTACCAGTCAGTGGAAACAAGCCATTGGACCATGCGACACGGCGCAAACCAGATTTTTCTTTCCTTAAAATAACAAAAGTGGATTCTTGCATGCCCTTACAACTTTTGCGCCCATGCTTCACCCTGGGCATGCAACACTCTAAGTCGGGGGTGCCCAAACTCGATCCTGGTTCACCAGGGTTCTGCAAAATTTAGTTCAAACCCCAATCAGACACATCTGGGCTAGCTAATCAAGCTCTTACTAGGCTTTCTACAAACATCCATGCAGGTCTGTCGAGGCAAGTTGGAGCTAAATCTGCAGGACACTGGCCCTCCAGGAGCGAGTTTGGGCACCCCTGGTCTAGGTGGTACTCTTCTTTTGGGCTTTTTCCACACTGTAACGCTCCCGGATGTGGGAAAGACAGTGAAGGTAGTTTCATCAGAGAACAATACATGATTCACAATGTTCACAATGTCTACAAGATTTTCACTGCTGGCACCATTGAAACCAACGTTTTACATTGGTTTGGCTTTGTGGAAGGTTTTGGAATGTGTATTGACCCTGTGGAGCTCCCAATGAAAACAATTGCTGGAAACAGAAGCGTTGAGGTGCACATTTAATTCTTCAGTGAGTTGGGTAGCTGTAGTTTTATTTATTTATTTATTTTAATACAATCCGAGTAAGCACCCCGTGAACCCTTTCAAACAACTTCCTCTTTTGTCCACAGTTACTCCTGCTAGATTACTCCTACGTTGTTGGCATGCTGACATTTCTTGCTGTCTTGGTCACAGATGTGCCAGAGAGATGTGCACCAACAATTTTTTCTCTTTTGAGCTCTGATATGTCACACATAGGGCCCTATCATACACCCGGCGCAATGCAGCACAAGGCGCAACTCAATTATTGTTTGCTAGCTTTAGCTTAGCGCAAGAGTCGTTTTGACGTTTTGCACCACGCTGTTTAAATGCATTTGCTCTCATATGAACGCCCATAGGCATTCTGGTCGAAAAAAGGAGGCGTGTTGAGGCGCATTGCTATTTTGAGAAACTATAATAGATTGTTCACTAGAGCAGAACAAGGCCAGTCTAAAGTTCAGCGCAGAGCGTGTCAATTGTGCGCCTCACTTACACATTGCTTAATACAAATATCTTTACATATAAAAAAGTATTTAAATTTTAAGGATATATATATATATATATATATATATATATATATATATATAGGATGTAATAAGGATATTAATAGGACATAAATATAAAGGATTAAAATATTACAAAACATATTAGTTTTAGCCTATATAATTATAAAAACCTAATTTCATGCCTTAATCATCTTGGGGGGGCTTTCTCAGTTTATTCATAACAATTATCTTTTGTATAATGTTATTATTATTAGCAGTATTATTTATTATATGCATAGGTATATTTGTTTTATTAAAAACAAGCTTAGATTTGCCCACCTGTCAGGTTTTTTGAACACACTTTGTTATTATTGTTCTTTTATTTGTTTGCTGGAAATTAGAACTGAATTTAGAAATAGTTTTGAAACAAATCTTTGCACTTAACAAACAAAATATTTATGTATAGGCTAACGAATGTCTGTGCATACAAGTTTCCCTATCCACGAGAGTGAAAGAGAAGGTAAATAATGAGGGTGCTCATCTCCTAATATCCCATTGTAGATGCTCTGTTTAACTGTTTTCTTGCAAGTAAAATGATCAGTTTTTCCACTTAAAAAGTCTGTCATGTAAATAGCAAATGCGCTATGGCACGACACAACTGACTCTTAACGGGAAAGGGAGATGAGACTCTGATTGGTTTATTTTCAAAACACACCTATAACTCAAAAAGAAAATAAGCTCTACCCTTTTAGCCCATGCACCAGAGCGCAAAGCGAATTTTTCCATCGTTAAAATAGCAAAAGTAAATTCAGAAATGCCCTTATTGCTTTTGCGCCCTGCGCTTCGCACTTTGCGCATGGATCGTCAAAAAAGAGCCCATAATGTTGTGTGCATTCCAATATTTTAAGCAAAACTGTGCTATTACTCTGCTGATTAAAACCTTGACAAACTGCTCTTACAAGTAAAATGTGCGACAATTACTACATTATTACAAATGAAATAAATTGTCATATTCACTGCAAAAGAAAAGAAAGCCCACCATTTTCTTTGAAAGTTTAGCAGTATCCACGACAATGACTGCATCACGTGCACCAAGGTAGAGCATCCCAGACTCACTGTGCAACAGGAAGGTGCTTAAATTGCCAAATCCACTCAGTCTTGGAAATTCTGCTGAGAAAAAAGAAAAGAATGAATCAAAACCATACCAAAAAAATTATCATAGCACGCATTAGTCTGATCTGTTTAGTACCAATAGTAAGGTTCTGTATTTAATCAACACCTAAACTGGCAATATCCTGTATCCCACCTGTTTAGTGCATGAACTCAAGAGATGACATTAAACATGGTTTTGATGTGAAACAGAAAAGCTGTATGTGAGGTTCTCATGATGCTTTCATGAGCCTAGACGCACACTGGCACATGTAGCCCTCGTTTTACTGAAATGTATCTTATTAATTTACATTTGGGGCAGTTTCTTTATGTTTATACATATCTTTTTCCCATCACCATCATCTTCTCCTATAAAGAAAAAAACTTTAGTTAACAACCACAGTCAGGCCGACCAGACATGGAAGATAACATGGCAGCCACTTTGAACCAATTTGAGGACACTATGAAAGCTGAACTAGCAGTGCTCAGGGGTCATCGCCCTTTCACATTTTTACATCCATGTACATTATAAATAAAGCCTCAGGATGCATATTATTAAGTCATCTGTCCTTATGTCTTTATATATTCAGTGCTACAGCCTAGCACCTGAAATTTAATACCTGAAAGTTTTGTAGATTTACATTTAAGTTTCTTAAGTTTAGCCAAAAGGAAAGAGATATTGATAAGCACTTTTAGTGATGTATTATATTTTTTTCAGGGAGGAATGCTAAAGTATAGCAGAGCTTCTCAAAGTCTGGACTTTGGTCCAGATTGTGACGATATTCAATCCTACCGGATTTCGTATTGCAAGACAATAGTGAAGGGATTTAAATTGTGGATTTCCATGATTGCATCCAGTTACTATTGGTCTACCTTTTGTTGTGTTTCAAACCAAAATACACTTATATTAGTGGTTTTGCCACATTTTGCATTGTAATTAATGTGTTTTGAATGCAAATACAACTTTATTTAAAGAAAAATAAATAGTGTTGACTTGTAATGAATGTCAGGGGTCTCCAAACTCTGTCCTGGAGAGCCGATGTCCTGCAGTTTATTTCTAACGCCAATCAGACAAACCTGGGCTAGCTAATCAAGCTCTTTCTAGAAACATTCTTGCAGGTGTTTTGAGGCAAGTTGGTTGCAAAATCTGCAGCTTGCCCTCCAGGACTGAGTTTGGACAGAACATGACTGAATCCTGTTATAGATGTTTATTAAAAACAAGTTATTTAATATTAATTGTTCCAGAACATTGACCTTTTTGTAGACATTGTAAACCCCTGGTATATAGGCTACTCACTTCAATTGGACTTAATATTAAGACCTTAAAATGATTGAATGGCTTAAAACAGTTTGAATTACTGACTGACTTGTAGTTAATTTATCACGTTGAGGAAAAAAAAAAAAGAGTCAAATAAATGACAGGAAAAAAAATGTATGTGGACAAGAGAAATAACCAAGTTAAAGGCCGCCATCTAGCGGTAGTGTGTGTAGATGTCCTGAGAAACCTATTAAACATGACTTAGGTGACTAATAAACTGCTAAACATTTAAACTGATAAAACAAAACAAAAAAATAAAAACTTTAATGGTATGGCCATTATCAAATATTTATTTAAAGAATATTATTTATTATTTTTTCTAGAACTATTATTTATGTTATTTATTACCTGAATTATTTTCCCATTACCTCAAACTGCCTTACAGACAGCATTCTCACTATGTGACAGATTTTAAATTAAAAAATAGTAACAAACTCTTATTTTACCCAAACAACACCTAACAAGCACATTTGAAACTAGCCATAACAAGAAGCTGTTTTAATATAATCATCATTCAGATAATCCTTTAAAATAAATACAATTATGGCTTTTTTTATTTTATTTTTTTGGAAGTCCCACTAAACACATAAAATCTCCAAGGTCTAGTGCTATTTGATGATATCAGAGGAATGCCTGAAAATTAAATAACCAAACCTGCTTTTCAACAGTTCAATCAGTTGTACACCTCAAAGAACAATAAAGGGTTTAAAGTCTCTAATGAATAATACAAATTTTATTATAAGCCTTCATCATTTGATTAGATAACAATGTAAAGAGAATGATGGTGGCAATAAATGAAACAAAAACATTTAAATCTTTCAAAAACACTGAAAAGATGTAACACATTTAGAAATGTTCAGCAGGAAAAGAAAAAAACAAATGTTACATTTCTTACTCTTTAGACGAATTGATCTTGTCACTAAGGTTTCAGTCCTGCATTGTCATAGGCTGATACAGCAGCCAAATCCAACTGCTGTCACCATCATTAATCATTCATTCAGTCTCAGCACATTAATCATAGATGACGAGGGGGGGGGATGTTATGTTAAAAAAAGGAGAAGAGAGTATGGGTGAATTTGGTCTCTACTTATCACTCTGTAACATATTTTCTTTCTCTTTTACAGAATTATCATGGACAAACTCCTAAAATCACACTGATTTCCTTCATTTCCTTCTCTGCTGCTGTACAACCACACAGAGTGTGATGTAGTCTACATAAATCCACTGTGATTGGCTCTGGCTGCTGAGGGATTATGGGAATTGCCATTTTAGGACGGGGGTTCTCTACTGTTGAATAATGTACTCTAAAACTAAATCTGTCAATCAAGGAGCAAAACACTACTGAAGAAGAGAGAGCAGCAAAATTCATTTTATTAGAGCTAAAGTGTTTAAAGCACTGTTTTTATGCATTTGCTTATGTGTTCCAAGAAATACAATTACATTTAGCAAAACTGTTTAAAGAGCTAATATTCTTAGCTAAAAACAAAACTGAAAAAAACTATTTTTTTCTTAACTGAAAAAAATAAACATAATGGTGTATATGGTCCATCATTCAGTTTTTTTTTTTTTTTTTTTTTTTAATTCAGAAAAATTTGCTTTAGGGTCAGTGGTTTATTTTAAAAAAATGGACAAACTTCAATTTTTGCAGTAAATGTAATGTTACAACACAAAAATGACAACAGCGTTGTTAGGTAAATGAAGCTTATATTACACATTGAAACTGATCATTAAACCTTAATAGAATAATTAAAATAGAATAAATGTACACTTGTTCTCTCTCTATAAGCAAATCTAATATTTTCTCAGTCACAAGAAAGGCACATATTGCTTCACTTAAACAACATATAATACTTTTTATGAGTTTAAATAGAACATAACTTTCATTTGTATAGCTTTGGTTCCCCTTCGGTTGGGGAACTCCAGTGCTATAAGTGGATTTGATGTTAAAATCCAAGTACGGAGTATAGCACTTCCGTTCCCCTCCTCGGGGAACGTAGGGTTACTTCTGTAACCTTGAACATTTTTATGACAAGGTATGAATAAGACTTTGAGTCTTATTGTTTGTCAAGAGTCTGGTGGTAGAGGGTTGTATATGATCCATCATTGTCAAATCCCTTTAGATTTTTCACCATTCAACACAGAATATGTAGCTAACAACCAAGTAGTTTACTCTTAACAAACAGAACATTTTAAGTAACAAAAAAAAAAAAAAAACACAAACAGGCAACACTCTAAACAAAGTGGTTCTAAATAGCACAATAAGTGTAATTAATATTCACAAGGGAACCCCTTTAAGTACTAAATTCTGTATCTAATTTAAAATACACCACCTGTCAAATAGTGCCCTTTTTACAGCTGGTTTTAGATATGCTACTCTGCTTTTCTATGAAAAGGTTTAGTGAATCACTGATGAATCACTTTTGAAGAACATTTTGCCATGGAGGCAAAAAGATGTGTTATCATCTCAGAATAAAAAGTATTTTAATGCTGCTTTTCCCAACTGCACTCCTGAAAACAAAAGTTCCAAAAAAGTTTTCACAGTGATGCCATTGAAAAAACATTTTAGGGCACATTTCTTCAAAAAATATTTATTAGTGCAAACAGTGCACTAAAAGACACTAAAAGTTCTATAGAAAACTACATTGAACCCTAAATAACTATACATGGGCTTCATTGTATGGCAGTGCATCTTAACTCCCCCCCCACCCCCACCCCCCAAAAAAACTGTATGCCATGCCATGTAAGAGCTTGTTTTAACACTCAAATATTTTTGATTGTATTTTACTGTACATATATACTACAGAAAATATACATGTGATGACACAGCTGTATGTATTCCATTCTATAATTACTATTCTGATTTGCTTCTGACAAATTATTTCTTCTGATTACCAAAGTAAAGCTGTTGTGCTGCTTAATATATTTGTTTTAACTGAAAATGTTTCCTTCTGGATTTTATGTGAAAATAAATGTCAAAACAGTTGCATCTATGCATTTTTGATGCAATTTCTCTGTGTAACACTTGACATCGATGTGTTGTGCTAATTGTGCTATGTTTAAATTCTTTAGAGAAAGACCTAAAAATGAGGCCTCATTTGACCACACAAGTGTTTTTGACATAATCTGTAATGGCAGGTGGCCTCGAGGGGGAGAGGCTATAAAAAATACCAATGTTAAATTGACTTGACTGCAAACACTTGCAACACTGCCGAGAGAAACAATATTCCCCCCTCGATTGCAAAAGATTAGTTTTAAGATTGAGCTGTGGCCAACGTTGTATATTTTATCATTAAAACTGATCCCTCTTCCAGATAAAGCATCCTTTCATTGAAACTGCTCCCTGATTAGCTAATGGTAACTGTACTAATAATTCACTTCATAATTTGGCACATAATTTAGGACATTATCAAAACTAAAACATAACCCGAAACTTCATCTAACTTAATAAATACATTTGTATTCTGCTTTTCAGCTCATAAAATACTATGTTCTTACTCTTCCAGAAAACAATGCACTACAACATATTGTCTTTATTTTACTGTAATTTAAATTCAGGCAACACGGGATTCAACTGCTCCACATTTTTTAAACAGCTGCCACATCCTCTCAGTGACTGTGCTTACTCCTTTCTTTTCCACCAGGCGGGCTGTTTAATCTGCTGAAATGCTGTCAGTTATTATAGTCGAAACAAACTACACCATAG